GCCTCAGCCTCCCGAGTAGCTGGGACTACAGGCACCCGCCACCTCGCCCGGCTAGTTTTTTGTATTTTTTAGTAGAGACGGGGTTTCACCATGTTAGCCAGGATGGTCTCGATCTCCTGACCTCGTGATCCGCCCGTCTCGGCCTCCCAAAGTGCTGGGATTACAGGCTTGAGCCACCGCGCCCGGCCTGTATTTATTTTTTGAGATATTTATTTTTTGAGAGTTATACTCTGTCACCCAGGCTGGAGTGCAGTGATGTGATCATGGCTCACTGCACTCTTGACCCGAGCTCAAGGGATCCCCCACCTTAGCCTCCTGAGTAGCTGGGACTACCGGTGTGTACCACCACACCTGGCTAATTTTTTATTTTTTTGTAGAGATGAGGTCTTTTTATTTTGCCCAGGCTAGTCTCAATCTCCTGGACTCAAGTGATCCTCCTGCTTTGGCCTCTCAAACTGCTGAGATTATAGGTGTAGACATGAGCCACTGTACCCACCCTATTTTTTATTTCTTTTGAGATGGGGTCTTGCTTTGTTGCCCAGGCTAGTGTGTAGTGGTACAATCATAGTTCAGTACAGGCTTAACCCTTGGGCTTAAGTGGTCCTCCTGCCTCAGCCTCCAGAGTAGCTGGGACTACAGGCATTTTTTGTAGAGGTGGAGTCTTGCTATGTTGCCAATGCTATAGCTCCAATTTAGAGATGAGGATACAGAAGTGCACAGAAGGAACTAGCCCAGAGTCCAGAGGCCAAATCCTGTGGCTCTGGATCTCAGCTATGCGATGTGTTCTCTCATGAGAGGGCGTGAGCGGGCCTGATATTAGCTGAGTCCTTTTAAAACTAGATAGAGGCTAGGGGCAGTGGCTCACGCCTTTAATCCCAGCATTTTGGGAGGCTAAGGCGGGTGGATCACTTGAGGTCTGGAGTTTGAGACCAGCCTGGCCAACATGGCGAAAACCCATCTTTACTGAAAATAATGAAATTATCGCTGGATGTGGTGGCTCACGCCTGTAATCCCAGCACTTTGGAAGGCCGAGGCAGGTGGATCACAAGGTCAGGAGTTTGAGACCAGCCTGACCAACGTGGTGAAACCCTGTCTCTACTGAAAATACAAAAATTAGCCGGGCTTGGTGGTGCACAGCTGTAATCCCAGCTACTCAGGAGGCTGAGGCAGGAGAATCGCTTGAACCTGTGAGGTGGAGGTTGCAGTGAGCTGAGATCATGCCATTGCACTCCAGCCTGGGCGACAGAAAAAAACAAACAAAAAAAGAGTAGATAGGGCCTGGCGTGGTGGCTCACACCTGTAATCCCAGCACTTTGGGAGGCGGAGACGGGCGGATCACAAGGTCAGGAGATTGAGACCATCCTGGCTAACACAGTGAAACCCCGTCTCTACTAAAAAATACGAAAAACTAGTCGGGCGAGGTGGCGGGCGCCTGTAGTCCCAGCTACTCGGGAGGCTGAGGCAGGAGAATGGCGTAAACCCGGGAGGCAGAGCTTGCAGTGAACTGAAATCCGGCCACTGCACTCCAGGCTGGGCGACAGAGCAAGATCTGTCTCTTATACACATCTAGATGTGTATAAGAGACAGGGACTACATTGAAAAAATAAAAAATCAGGGAGGCATGGTGGTGCATCCCTGTAGTCCAAAAATCTCCATTTTTGGAGACAACAGTGGTGTGATCTCGGCTCACGGTAACTTCTGCCTCCTGGGTTTAAGCAATCCTCCTGCCTCAGCCTCCTGAGTAGCTGGGACTACAGGTACATGCCACCAGGCCCAGCTAATTTTTGTATTTTTAGTGGGGACAAGGTTTCACCATGTTGGCCTGGATGGCCTCAATCTCTTGACCTCGTGGTCTGCCTGTCTTGGCCTCCCAGAGTGCTGGGATTACAGGCGTGAGTCACCGTGCCCGGCCTAATTTTTTTGTATTTTTAGTAGAGATGGCATTTCACCATGTTGGCCAGGTTGGTCTCGAACTCCTGACCTGAAGTGATGTGCCCGCTTAGGCCTCCCAAAGTGCTGGGATTACAGGTGTGAGCCGTTGTGCCCGGCCCCATGATCAATTCTGTTTTTTTTTTTTTTTTGAGACCAAGTCTCGTACTGTCACCCGGGTTGGAGTACAATGGTGTGATCTCAGCACACTGCAACCTCTGCTTCTCAGGTTCAAGCGATTCTTCTCCCTCAGCCTCCCGAGTAGCTGGGACTACAGGCATGTACCACCACGCCTGGCTAGTTTTTTGTATTTTTAGTAGAGACGGGATTTCACCGTGTTAGCCAGGCTGATCTCAATCTCCTGACCCTATGATCAGCCTGTCTTGGCCTCCCAAAGTGCTAGGATTACAGGTGTGAGCCACTGCACCCAGCTGATCAATTCTTAATTATAGACTACAGTGTTTCTCAGACTCATTTTCTTAATATGAAAAAAAAATTCTAAAGGGTCTTGGGGCTGGGTGCAGTTGCTCACGCCTGTAATCCCAGCACTTTGGGAGGCCAAGGCGGGCAGATCATGGGATCAGGAGATCGAGACCAGCCTGGCCAACATGGTAAAACCCCATCTACTAAAAGTATGAAAAATTAGCCAGTCTTGGTGGCATATGCCTATAGTCCCAGCTACTCAGGAGGCTGAGGCAGGAGAATCACTTGAATCTGGGAGGCAGAGGTTGTAGTGAGCCAAGATTGCACCACTGCACTCCAGCCTGGGCAACAGAGTGAGACTTCGTCTGGGAAAAAAAAGAAAAAGAGTCATGGCTGTCCAGTGTTGGTTTAAATTATTCTTACTAAAAATGTCCAAGCATGCAGCTAGGAAAACATTCTTTATGCTCACAGTTGTTACATAGCCTCAAAAACAAGTATACACATTTAAGAAGTCATATTCAGGCTGGGCGCGGTGGCTCACCACTGTAATCCCAGCACTTTGGGAGGCTGAGGCAGGAGGATCACTAGAGGCCAGTAGTTTGAGACCAGCCTGGGCAACATGGCAAGTCCCATCTCTATAAGCATTGAAAAAATAAAAAATCAGGGAGGCATGGTGGTGCATCCCTATAGTGCCAGCTACTTGGGAGGCTGAGGCAGGAGGATTTTTGAGCCCAGGAGTTCAAGGCTTCAGTGAGCCATGATCACACCACTGCATTTCAGCCTGGGAGACAGAGTGAGACCCTGTGTCTAAAAAAAAAAAAAA